CTTTTATTGTGTGGAGGATGCATGGGCACTCTGCCCCATATGTCTAAAATCCTAGATATCTCTAGTTTTTCTTTTGACTTGGGTCACTTTTTCCTTTCTTAGTGTTTTTAGGAATCATGGATGAGAGATGATAGATAAAACTTTAGAGTAAAATATTAATGTGTTTTGAGACACATATATGTATATAATATGCTTTTTGAGTTTCAAAAATATCATCAAAATTTTGGACACCATGATTGTAAAGTGTAAGGGATAGGATATGGTGGGGTGGGGAGGTTTTGACTAAATTGGCAATTTCTAGTGCATGATGCATTTAGTTAAATTAGTACAAATTACAAATCCTTCTCTTTTCTTGAACGTTATGAATTAGGGATAATTCTGGGTACTAATTAACATTTAACCACTTGAGTCATGGTGAGATGTGTGAATGATACACATATTTATATCAAAGTCCTAAGACTTTTCTACTCAAAGATCTAGAAAAAAGATCTTCGAAAAGAAAAAGAATTTAATTAAGAGGGGGTAAAATTATAGTAATATTAATTATGATGTAACATATGAGATGGGTATGAAAAATTATTTTTGGGGGGGTAAAACTATATAGTGAGATTAATGCATGGTGGGGTAAGAAAAATTGAAGAAGGGGTAAACCATAGTGATATTAATTATGAAATAACATTTAATGGGGGTTTAGAAATTTAGGAGGGGTAAAACTATAGTGATATTATTAATTATGAAACAACATTTGATGGGATTTTTAAGGGGGTAGGGTTGGGCAATGCTATGTAGGACAAAGTGAGATTAAAGAAAGAAAATACAAAATTAAAAGTTAAATAATGTAATTAAGTCAAGTGGCAAGCTGTTGGAAAAAGATTATTCAACCAACTTCTCTTAGCCTCACAAGCAGCAGCTTAGTGAGCCCCATTTCAAATCTTTTCATTTACAATAAGCCATTATGATCATATCATAATAACCTTTTTCTTTTATTGTTAAATCTTTATTCCTTCCTTTCTTTTCTCCCAAATAATTGAGCTTTGATCATGATCACAAAGCAATGGGTTGAAATTCATAATATAATGGGGACACTTTTGTCAAAAGTTTGAGAATAGTCCCTCCCGACCTTTCGATATAAATACATTTCGGTCGTCCTTCCTCTAGTATCGGGTTAGAGATGATAACGATGGGAGAAATATTAGATATCACTAATAGAGATGACAACAATATGAGAGACAGCCACACTAAATAATTCCTCATCTCTCACAATCAAACTCATAAACCATAGGATCTATCTCCCTGCACGTGATCTTTCTCTTTCTATGCCACTCTTAATTATCCTAGCTCCTCTTACCAAGTCTTTCCTACACAGGTTGTCGAAAACATCCAACAATCTCAATTAAGACTAATCAAATCGAATAATTTATAGTTCCTCATATCAGTTACCTCTCTCCTTCCACTTTCTTCTTTCCAAACAAAAGTCATCAGAATCGACATCGTTGTTGACCTTCCGATATGGATGGATACAGAGCCTCTCACTCTGACACACGATCATATCGAACAATTCGACATCAAACCTACAATCTAGGATGTAGGGTTAGGGTGTAACACGTGTAGGGTTGGGATTTTGCAGTCCCATTTGGCATATAATGGTAGGGCATAATGATAGCGTTTTGGAGTGTGTTAGTGAGAAGCCGTAAGGGAAGTGGAGAGAGAGAGGTGGCCGCCCAAAATGCTTGGTGGTAGGCACCAAGGCACTAGTGGAACTCTTGCCTTTACCACCAAAACAATGCTCACCTTTTTTTTTTTTCTCTCTTTAATTGTTCATGTTTTAAATAATGTTTTCTTTTAATTGAATACTTTTTTGGGATGGTGCATTTTTGTCATGCTTTTCTTTTTTTTTTTTTTGGTTCATTGGGGAAAAATGATTAAAATAATTACATAATGGGAAACATCTCCACTTTTAGAATCTACACGTGCATGCATTTCAAAGTATTGTTCTCTTTCCCTAGCTAATAGGGTTTTTTCTCAATTCTTTTTAGAGTTGCTTTTTTTTTTCCTATTTGAATAATTTGAGACACCCAAATCAAACCCTTATCCAATCGCACTTACCTAATTAGTTGTTTTTTTTTTATTTATTAATCAGTATTGGGACACTGATTTTGTTATTTTATTATTATTATTGTTTTGATCAATTTTCTAGAATCGATCTGGCTTAGGCTAATAGATCCCTATAAAAGGAGCTCATTGTATGATCTGAGCAACACACTGATTTTATTATTTTATGTCATTTTAGGTATAATTTGTTATCGTAGAGGATGTGGTTTTACCCCTTTATCATAGTCTAGAAAAATCTCTCTCTCATAATAAGAAGGATAAGGAAGAATATTATTACGGCAACTTTCAATGGTTAAGAACGTTTAGGTGCTGTTTGGGAATGCTGTTGAAAAAACTATATTCTCTACATCTTTAGAAACAATTCTTTTTAATACCAAAAAAAAAAGTGTGAATAGTGAATTTTAGACAACTTTCCATTTGAGTCATTTCACACCATATAACCCTTTTAACTTAAGGACTGTTTGAGTATCATTGGCTGTGCTTGAATAGTGAAAAGTTAGTGTTAAATCATCCACCAGTGGTTTGAATACAGGACTTCTCTTATTCTCTTGATATCATGTTAAATCATCAATCAGTTCAAAAGTTTAAGCGAATAGAGTACACGGTAAGTTAATAATTTTCTTGTTTGCATGCAATGCAGGTGTGTACCAAGTTGACAATACAAGTGAAGTGGACAAACCCAACATGAAGCAAACCCTAATTTCTTCTTACAACACTCTGTTGGCTCCAAGGGTAAAAACAGCTTGCATGGAAAGCACTTGTACAAAGGAAAGGGAAACAATGCTGCTGTCTGGAGAAGGGAAACACAGCAGCAAAACCAGTCTCCTCTCATGGTGCAACCAACTCACCATCTTGCTCCAGAGAAACCTCAAAGAACGAAAACACGAAACCTTCAACGCTCTCCGAGTTTTCCAAGTCATCACCGCGGCGATGCTCGCGGGACTGATGTGGTGGCACTCCGATTACCGAGACGTTCAAGACCGCCTCGGCCTCCTCTTCTTCATCTCCATCTTCTGGGGAGTTTTCCCCTCGTTTAACGCCGTCTTCGCCTTCCCCCAAGAGCGAGCGATCTTCCTCAAGGAGCGAGCCTCCGGCATGTACACGTTGTCGTCGTATTTCATGGCGCGAATCGTCGGAGACCTGCCTATGGAGCTCATTCTTCCCACCATTTTCCTCACGGTGGCGTATTGGATGGCGGAGCTGAAGCCAGAGCTCGGTGCCTTTCTCCTAACGTTGTTGGTGCTCCTCGGCTACGTGCTCGTCTCGCAGGGGCTCGGCCTCGCCTTAGGGGCAGCGATCATGGATGCCAAACAAGCGTCCACCATCGTGACCGTGGCGATGTTGGCGTTTGTGTTGACAGGAGGGTTTTATGTACACAAAGTACCATCCTGCATGGCTTGGATTAAGTACATTTCGACGACGTTTTACAGTTACAGGCTCTTCATCAACGTACAATATGGTAGCGGAGAGAAGATATGGTCGTTGCTCGGCTGCTCGAGCCACGGAGGTGCGAGGGCGAGCTGCAGATTTGTGGAAGAAGATGTGGCAGGGCAAATAAGCCCTGCATACAGCATTGGGGCTTTATTGTTTATGTTTGTGGGTTATAGGTTATTGGCATATTTGGCTCTGAGACGCATCAAATAGAAAGAAGAAGAAGGAAGGAGAAGGGGCAAGTTTGTTGAGCAAATGAAGCTGCATTTGCAATGTTGACACACTTTGAAAGGATTTTCCACTAACAAATTTGGTTGATCTCTCTTCAACAACTAATGATGATTTGGGTAAATGTAAATAGTCAAAATGAAGGTTATGAATGCTTTTTAGTACCAAATATATGCAATATGGGAAGCCATATAGTTGTCTCTTCTCTAGCTAGCTAGAAGATCCGTCAATAGATTGAATAAAGTTGATTTTTGATGATTTCCATGGGAAAGCACTATCTTACATGATTTTCAAGATATTAATGGAGGAAAGAAACAGGGTATGTCAGAGACAAAAATTAGATGAGAATTAAATAAACAGATAAATTGAGTATTAATAAGAAGCGTAGTTCATAGATAGAGTACCTTATTACACATCCTCTAACTTAGGACAACTAGATACTTTAGTAATCTCTTAAGTATCTTTTTACTTGGACAAGTATGTGTGTTTTTTTAGCTCAATAACGATGGGCCATCGATTTTTAAGATGATACTAAATATCTTATCTACTGAAGATTGGCTATTGAAGCTACGTTCAAAGGACAAATGAGTGGAATAATACAAAGTGATCATTATTCCTTTTTAAGCCAAGTATTGTCTTCCATATATTACCATTTATCTTCCAATTCGAAAGAATCCCCTTATGCAGCTAATTAATTTCATAGGAATGTAAAGGAATTGAGCCAAAAAATTCAAGAAAAAGTGCTATTGCCTTTCTATTAAGAGAATTAACTTGCTCGTTACCAGGCTCAATTTTACACTATATATGAACTGTGCACAAATAATGAAGTAAAAGAGAGAAAAATAAAACCCGCTGCTGTAGCCAAAGGAAGGAAAAATACATAAGGCAAGAATTTAACAAGAAAAATGGTTGGCATTTAAGTCTAACGATATATTCCAAAAGCCTCCTTATTGACAGAAAAGTAGACCTTTGCTGAAGTTGGGAAATTAGGTGGTTCAAATATTTTTTCCATCCAGCAAACAAGGTCAATCTCACACAATATAAGAGAGTAAGGGAAAAGCAGAAAACGAACCAACAAATTTACATTGGTTCACCCCAACAGTTTATGGGTTACATCGAGTCCTCAGATATTTGATACAAAGCACTCAAGACTCCCCAGATATTCACCCTCCAAAGGTCTCAAAAAAATCTCAAGAAAAGTCTTTTAGCTTCTAAGTATTATAACACACTATACTTAGGTATGAGAATGAAAAACTTACAAGAATCAAGATTTAATTACTCCGACTATGACGATCATGATTTACCCCAACGCTCTTGCCAATACCCTGAGCCTCTATCTGCAATCTGCCATAAAACTGCTTTGAAAATGACTTAAAACGGCTAAAAAAAACCTAAGATCGAAGTTGTGCATTTATAGAACATCATGACAGCACCATGGCACTACGAACATAAAAAGTCCACGCACGCCCCATCGGGACAGTGCTGTGACATCGTCCCCCAGCGCCTCGGCCATTCTGACTTGCAGCTGTTTTTCATTCCTTCTTCGTCCCAACGCGCCCCGACTTGATCCCGATTTGTCCTTAATTCGTTCCGACGTCGATTTGGCTCCACCAATCTCAACAATTTATCGAAGGATACATCTGGAGAAGAACGAAGATTTTAGCTATTGATATGGAGAATCAATCAGCACCAGACTTTCCTTGAAGGTGGTTGTTTTTCTTAATTGTTAATGGGCAATTGCTGATTGCGTTTAACTTGATTTTCTTATGCATTTGTAACACCTCGTGTTTAATATCCTTCCTCAAAACTGGGATGAGTGGAGCGAATGCCAAGTTTGCTCCGTAGTTCTTTAAAGTTGGATTAACTGGTGGTTTGATAAGGATGTCAGCTAATTGAAGCTGTGAGGGAACATATCTTGTGATAAGTGATGCCAAAGCTACCTTTTCCATTACAAGGGACAATCCATCTCAATGTGTTTGGTCTTTGCTGGGAAGATAGGATTTATCATAGACATTTGTAGACTCGTGTTGTCGCATAATAGTTGAAGTGCATTGAGAAGTCATATCCCAAGATCTTTCAAGAGAAAGGTTATCTATGTCATTTCAACTGCAGCTGTAGCCATGACAGGATATATTCATGAATCAGCCTCTGAGCCAGATCTAGCTACTATGGATTGCTTCGAAAGAAACACAGTCCAGTGATGCTACAACCTCCTAATATGCGTCACAAAAATCATATAAATTAAGTGAGCTATTTTTATAGAAAGAGATACCATACCTTTAATGTTCTATTTAAGTATTTGATGACGCACTTCCCAGGTTTCGAATCTTTTATCCTTGGTCGGAGTTATTGGCACACTTTTTTACAGCATGACTATGATGTATGGTCTAGTGAGTGTGAGTTATTGTAGAGACCCCACTACACTTCTGTATTTGGTGGCATCCACCAAGCCATCAACATTTGGAGAGGTTGGGTGGGAAGTTGTTGTAGGGTGACGCTTCTAACATTTTAGCCTTGGTGAGGATGTCCTCAGTGTATTTCCCCTGACTTAATAAGTCCTGTAGCAAGCTTATGAACTTCAATACTTAAGAAGTAGTGGGACTGTTCCTAGGTCCTTCAACTTCAAGTTAAACTCTGAGCTTACTGCWTTAACAAGTTTCCACGAGAGAGACAATGTTTCCTCTAAGGATAATGTCATCATTAATGAGAATGAAGTCATGTTTTACTGTAAATGAGGGATTGAATTTAGAGCAAACAAAACCATAATGTAAAAGAAAGGTGGATAATCTTTAAAACCATTCCCTGTGAACTTGCTGTTGGGTTATTAGTGGAGCCAAAATATGTAATGGGCTCATCGGCCCATTACCTAAACTTTCTTTTTCTTCATTTCGTAATGCTGCCTCTTAAAATTTCTAATAACCTTTAGTTATAGGTTTAGCCGTGCTGTGAAGAAAAATAGGGAGTGGCGGCGTGTGTTGATGTGCACACAAATATTGTGGCGGCAGCAGCTTGTTGGCAGAGAAAAAAGATGAGAACAAGGGTTTTGTAGAGCGTTGTCGATAGTTCGTTCTCTTAAGGTTAGTGAGGTTTTTCATTATGTATTTCTAAGTAGCTATTGTCGTAATGCTTAGAAGCTAGGTGTCCATTGTTGTGGCATTTAGAGAGAACTTTGTAGAGCGTTTGTGAGGCACATTGTATTTATCCCAATATTATAGTAGAACTCATTGTCGTAGAAGACTGGACATAGCCATAGTTGGGTGAACCAGTATAAATTTGCTTGTGTCGTTTATGTGTTTTCTCTATTTTTCTCTCATTATTGTAGTTGATTTAGTTTTCACTAAAGAAAGAGTAAGTAAATTTTCCCAACAAGTGGTATCAAAGTGAAGTTGCAGAGTCATGGAGACAAATATCAAGCACATCACTACTATGAAGGGGTTCTGAAGTTCAGTGGAGAGAATTTCAGTTTTTGGAAGATGCAAGTAAAGGATCTTCTTATGTGCAAGAAGATACACGAGACATTGGGGGAGAGACCAACGGATATGACAGACAAAGCTTGGAATGAGATAGATGAGCAGGATGTTGCAAACGTCAGACTGACACTAACGATGAGTGTATGCAGTTTCATGGCGAAAGAGACAACTGCAAAAGAATTGTTGCAGGCCTTGCAAGACGGGATGAGAAACCTTCTGCCAGTATTTTAACATCCACATGGAGGAGGGAACCTCAATGAATTCCCACATAAATGAGCTCACCGATATCTTGAACAAATTAGAATGGATGGGTATCAAGATCGATGAGGAGGTAAAGGCAATGAGGTTGCTGACATCTTTGCCTGACAGTTGGGAGACGATGAAGACCGCGGTGTCGAATTCGTTAGGGGACAATAGCTTGAAATTTTCAGCTATTTGTGATGCCTCCTTATCTGAGGAAGCCCGAAGAAAATTAGGGAAAATATCTGCATCTACTTCAGGGGCAGAAAATAGGATTAAATCAACGTTGGTAGCTCAGTATAAGGGGAAGGGCAAGATGAGATATGGGAAACAGTAGGGACATAGGCAGAGGAGTGAGAGCGGCGAGGTTGAATGTTTTTACTGCCCTAAGAAGGGCAACTTCAAGAAACACTGCATGAAGCTTAATGAGGAACAAGAAAATGAGGATACTCTAAATTACGTGTCAGTGGATGTGTTAGCTTGTATTGAAGGTAACACAACACTTGTAGACCGGTCATCAAAGTGGGTAGTGGACAGTGCAGCTTCGGTGCATGTATCTTCAGACAGGAGTTGGTTCATGTCCTTTACTGCAGGAAATCATGGCGCGGTGAGGATGGGAAATGGGAGATTCTCCAAGAGCAAAGGACTTGGGGATGTTTGTCTGAGAACTGACAGTGGGACCGAGTTAATACTGCATGATGTGAGGTATGTACCCAGTTTCATGATGAATTTGATATCAGCAGGGAAGCTGGATGACGAAAGCTACAGAAGTGAGTTTGCAGAGAATAGATGGAAACTCATGAGGGGATCCGAGGTAGTGGTTGTTGGCCACATAATGTGTTGAGGTTTGGCGTTGCCAGAGGATCAGAGAGAGTTATGCACAGGGTTGCAGATAGTTCAGGGGGAGACTTGAAAGAACTAGCAGCATTGACAGTCAAAATAGATAAGGAGAATCTACCATCAGTTCAAGTACAACAGCTGGGAAGTAGAGGAAAGGGAAAGGGGAACAACTCAGTGAGGTGTTCAACAGACTGTTAGTTTCGAGTCCCAATTGTCAGACCGATTAGCGAGCTGATGAAGTCGCGTAGGCGAAATGGTGCATTAAGAAAGACTACAGTTGGTGCTGAGGTCGATGGTTGTGTCTCTAGAGTGGTAACGGACTTGGGTGGGAGTGCCAAGTCATCAGATGGAAAATATTTCTTCCAGGAGTTGTTGGGTGCGAGTGAAAAAGGAAGCGTCGGGGATCACTTAGTTTAAGTGGGAGCACGTGACTGTGTCTCTAACGTCTGGGAGAAAAGACCGCGTAGGATTGCTCGGTCTCAGGGCAATCACAGATGGAGTCTCAGTTGGTGCTAAGAAGATACTAGAAACTGTCGGTGCAGTGGGTGTTAAGTCTTGGTTGGTGCCAAGAAGACGTCGTTCAATTGGAAGCTATTGGTGTAGTCAGAACTGAGTCATAACGATACTGTTGTTACAGTGGGAGGTGAGATTGTTGTTTTGCCTCCAAGTGGGAGATTGTTGGGTTATTAGTGGAGCCAAAACATGTAATGGGCTAATCGGCCCGTTACCTAAACTTTCTTTTTCTTCATTTCGTAATGTTGCCTCTTAAAATTTCTAATAATCTTTAGTTATAGGTTTAGTCGTGCTGTGAAGAAAAATAGGGAGTGGCAGCGTGTGTTGATTTGCACAAAAATATTGTGGCGGCGGCAGCTTGTTGGCAGAGAAGAAAAAGGAGAACAAGGATTTTGTAGAGCTTTGTCGACAGCCTATTCTCTTGAGATTAGTGAGTTTTTCATTATGTATTCCTAAGTAGCTATTTTCGTAGTGCTTAGTAGTTAGGTGGCTATTATTGTGACATCTAGAGAGAGCTTTGTAGGGCATTTGTAAGACTCATTGGCACGGAAGACTAGATGTAGCCCATAGTTGGGTGAACTTTCTTGTGTCATTTTTGTGCTTTCCCTATTTTTCTCGTATTATTGTAGTTGATTTTGTTGGTCTTGCTTAACAGTAAAAAAGGATACGACAGGTGTACACTCATCACAAAGAATAAATAGATAATATTTCGAGATTGTCCCACAGGAACTTAAAGTTTTCTTTTCAATTCAATGATGAAAAGTTGAGTGGGCAATCTGTCTTATGATTGAAATAGGTGAAAATGGTGTTGATTAAGATTATGTACTTCAAAGAAATAACATCCAGCCCTCCTACTAAGACTTGACTAGAAAAATAAGAATTCACAATAGCAAGTGTGTCTGGCGCACCTATATGGGTAAGTTATACCGGTTTTGCTTCTTGATCGATTCATGTCTAAGTGATCTTGAAGTTCTAATTTAATTATCAATATTTCTATTAATAACTCAACCTTAATTTGATTTTGTCCGACCGTAACTAAAGGATAAGACCCTATGTCTAGGTTCTTAACGGATTCTTCATTTCTAAAGTTTCATTCTCTTAGTTATTCATCCAGATTTTAAATATTATTACTTCACGTTTTCTCATAATGAAGTAAATTATTTAACATCTTAATTGGCCAAATCAAGTTTTTAATTTAAAAATCAATCCAAATGAAGAATAATAGCGTGCCCGGCAAAACTTATAGAAAAACAATCTCAAAATTGTATAGAAATTTTGGAAACAACAAAAACAAGTTTTTTGTTTCAATTTTCAATTTGGTCCAGCATAAAAAAGATTTTGTTTTATCATTCATTAATACATGGATGCTGGGAACATGCAATTTTATTTTTCTCTATTAAAAAAGAGGAAATAGAAACAAAAAATTGGAACGTTACCGAACGGACCCTAAGCGAGCTTTAAGACATTGAATTCAATATGAAACCTTATTTTGCAATTCTCTCCATCTTCTCTCCTCCCTAAAAATCTCCTAAATTTAGCATGGTATCTGAGTTCTTGGTAATTTTGATGGGTTGTTTAGAATTTTGTGAGGATTTTCATTGTTTCTTCTCTTGAAGCATGACTGAAAAGAAAAAAAGAAAAAAGATTTTCGAATTGCCGCTTGAGTTTTTCATGGCCTTGGGTGATTTTGTAAGGTCTCTTTGGAATTTTGTGATCATCTCCAAAATTACCTCTTTGGAAGTTTAGAATCTGCATATGTTTGCTGTGCACCTTAGAAGAAAGGAGCCAATTTGCAATTTTCTAGCAAATGCACGTGGCAGAAAATGACTAGGCGTAGGGATGACAATGGGACGAGGCGGGGCCGGGGGGCCATTCCCATCCCTGCCCCGTCCTCGAAATTTTAGGGGATGGGATTCCCTGCATTATAAATATATTTTTTAAATTTTTAAATTTAAATTTTATTTTTTTAATTAATTTTTGTTATTATTAGTATAAAAGTGAACAAAAAGTGAGGTGTTAGCTTGAGTTTTTTTTTAAATTTAAAACTATTTATAAAATGAATATATATTAATATTATTATATAAAAAAAGAAAAATAATAAAAAATTAAACGGGACGGGGTCGGGGACGGGGACGGGGCGGGGAAACTGATCCCCGTCCCCGTCCCGTCCCCGCCGGGGAACCCGATTGGGATCCCCGATTTGACCTCATCCCCAGTCAAACTAGGGAATCCCCGACTCGATGGTC